TGAATAAAAATGTAATAAAGGAGAGCAGAATTATTCATGGGCACGAGCGCGGTCAGCAAAAAGGACATGCAATTCCGATTAATGCCCGCCGCCCCAACAAAGAACAACTGAGCGGCCCTCCGTCGGAGGGCATCTAGCAAGTGGGCGGTCCAACTGAGCGGGCGTTAGAACTAGAACTTTCAGCGGCTTTAGCACGCTCCTCGCTTGCTGTTCGCCAGGGGCCGTATGCTATACTTCCCCTCGAGGGGAGGGTCCCCTCTAGGGGAAGACACCCCAGAGGGACGTCCCCCAGAGCGGCCGTATGCTACACTCGAGGGGATCCCCCGAAGAGATAGAGACGCAGAGCTTGCTGGCGCAAATTTGGGGGAAGGGTCGTCTGTACATTCAGCCTTTGGAATCCATAGCTTTTTTTGACATTTCGGAAGATCTTTGCTAGGACTGATGACGATCAACTACAATTATTTGTCCTGCTATTATAAAGCTATTTTCAGACTAAACTGAGCATCGAGGTCAAGAGGAAAACCATATTAATTATTTAATATTTTAGGACCCTTTGCAAATAGTGTTAGACAAAACAGTTTCTCAGTCTAAATGGTCCAAATGTAGGGAATCTCTAGAAGAAAGGGTGGCTGAATCTGTCCCACCTAGCATAAGAAACGCCATGTTTTTTCCTCTCTTAGTGGTCCTGCCTCTATCATTACGTTCTCCGCTCTCCAACTGCGCAACTTATTTCCAGTATGGGCAATAAGAAAAAGTGGCTGGTAACATTACAGCGTAACAGGGAAGTGTCTTCGGCTGGACAAAGTTTCTAAGGTCCGAAGTATGATCAGCACCAAAAGACATTCTCGTTAAAGGATTTTCGGAAGGATTTTCAATACTTTGACAGTAATCTGACCACTTACCTTAGCTTGGAGTAGTACCGGCTCGAACAAACGCTGCTTGCATGAGCTGGAGGGGATTACTAGAATCCTTTGCTACTGACGATGCCGTAGGATGCCCACAGGTAAGGCGTGGTGAGCAGTGGTAGGGTCTGTGGCGGCGAGCTGAAGCTTACTCAAGAGCAGTAGGAGGTATTCCCATTCTGCCAAAGTGATGAGGACGATAAGATAGGAATTTTGGGCGTACTTCACCTCTTCAGAGTAGATCCGAACGGTCTTGTTCGATATTTGATTTTTATGTTTTGATATAACTGCTTCTTCGGCGCATTTCGGCTTGGTGAGGGCAGTTTGCTAGTTTCCACCGCAGAGCCCTCCCGTGGGGGCCCAATCAACTCTTGTAGCTGTGAAATATTGCATTTATCCTCGGATAGAGCTTACAGATCTTATAACGAGAGAAGTTACTAGGAACTGGCGA